TTAACACTGAATGAACAACAAAGATAATACAATACAGGGGCTCTATTCTTGAAAAGAAACGTATACGAAAGTCTAGGGAAATACTATAGTATACGTGACGTATACTGTAGCATTTCCCTAGATTTTCGTATACGTTTCTTTTCAAGAATAGAGCCCCAGTATCCCAGCCAATACGATGGTAAGATTCTAATCCAGCTAGCAATCCAGCAGGAAAACAAGCATCGTGTGCCGCAGGCTTAAGATGTTCATCCGGCGCATCTTATTATTGCATAAATCATGTTTCAAATATGGCGCCCTTAGTTGTACCACGAGAAATATAATTGTGTACTATAATCTCTTTTGAATTTACCTTGGTCTTCTCTTGTAATATACGATGGTACAAAGTAGAATATTCGTACGGAATCGAGCGCTCGGATATGTTAGTAATCATATACCTCTTGTTACGAGGTATATCCTCAGAAGGAAAGAGCATTTCATCGTCACATGTGTAGGCAAGGAGTTCCACACTTACACGTGTAAACACTTTACTCTCCTGAGTGTCTCGGGTATGCATGTTGATGATATCACTTGCCTGGCTACGGACACGTTTCACGTATACACGGCCAGTGCAAATAACATTTACGCATGGCGCAGAGGAACCGAGTTGAAGCATACCTACAAGGGTCATGATTGTGCTGTCCACATTCTATTGCCATTCGGCGCACACTTGCTCTCTGTCGACGAGAGTAGCACCGTCAAGGTCTGGGACATCAAAGAGGAAAATCTTCTGCTGGAGTTAAATTTCAGTAATAATGTCTTCAGGATAACTGCACTGATGCACCCCAACACTTATATGAACAAGATTCTGCTGGGTAGCGAACAGGGCCAGCTACAGCTGTGGAATATCAAAACGACCAAGATGATCTATACATTCAAAGGATGGCAGAGTAGCGTGACTGTGTTGGAGCAAGCGCCTGCGATAGATGTGGCTGCTATAGGTTTGAATAATGGTCATATTATACTGCATAACCTCAAGTATGATGAAACTATTTTTGAGCTAGTACAAGATTGGGGTCCAGTGATATCTATCAGCTTTCGTACAGATGGTCACCCTATCATGGCAACAGGCAGTTTAGGTGGACAGATCGTGTTCTGGAATTTAGAGCAGCGAATGGTAGAGAGTCAACTTTGCAATGCACATAATGCTGCTGTCACGGGTCTGACATACATACCAAACGAACCATTATTGGTTTCATCTTCGCCTGACAATTCTCTAAAGCTATGGATATTTGATATGGTTGATGGAGCTGGTAGACTCTTGAGGATTAGAGAAGGTCATGCTGAACCTCCAACGATTGTTCGATTTTATGGAAATGACGGTAATTATCTGTTGACTACAGGCGGCGATTCTTCCCTCCGGTTGTTTTCCACTGTCACAGAAATACTAAACAAGAGTCTAGGTAGAGCCTCATTTAATAGAAAAGCTTCTAGAAAAAAAGGTCACTCGGTTGATGATCCAATGTTAATGCCGCCAATAACTGTACTTGCATCTGAAGTAACGAGGGAAAAGGAATGGTGCAATATAGCAGCAGCTCATTCCGGTTTAGGCACTGTCACTACGTGGTCGTCTCACCTCCAAAAGATGGGTGATCTTAAGTTACTTCCCGAGAGATTTAAAAACAATTACAATGCTATTGCGACTAGTTTATGTTTAACAAGATGTGGAAACTTTGTTGTGATCGGTTATAACACAGGTCATGTTGATAGATTTAACATTCAATCAGGAATACACAGAGCGTCTTATGGAAATGAGAATGGCGCTCACGAAGGTCCTGTTAAGGGTGTTATGGTTGATGATTTGAATCAAACTCTTGTTACAGCCGGCAAAGATACAAAAATTAAGTTCTGGGATTTTAAACCTAAGAAAGGTACTTGTGCCGTAATTAATTATATTTCCTTTAATGAGACTGAAGCTAGCAGGACGGACTTAGCAGACGGCCGCGCAGCGCTCGAGCAGCGATGCTCGACAATGATTACTATTTCATCATATATTGAGCATAATACACCGTATAAGCTCATTATTTCAAAACAATCGTTATATATCACATGAAAACAGTATTACAAAATGATAATTCAGTTTGAACAATAAAAATACTATAAATAAATAGTATATATGATTTCCGAGACTTTCATACTATATTCGAGAAATAAGATAGAGTTTGGAAATCCATTAATAACTTTTCTTCTAAGAGAGGGGCCTTTTTTTATAACTTTGCACACACGTTTTACACAATATTAGGAGATTATTTGCATAGTTTAAAAAAAAGGCCCCTCTCTTAGAAAAAAGTTATAAACAAATTAAGTCAGCAGATAGACGGAAACTCTCATTCTTCGAATATAATTTATAATAACTTTTCTTCAGAGAGGGGCCTTTTTTTATACTTTGCAGACATACTCTGGATGGTATTAGGAAGTTACCGGTACAGAAGTTATAAAAGAAGGCCCCTCTTAGAAAAAGTTCAAATTAAGTCAGCAGATAGACGGAAACTCTCATTCTTCGGATATAATTTATAACTTTTTTTCAGAGAGGGACCTTTTTTTATACTTTGCAGACATACTCTGGATGACATTAATACTTAATTTGTTTATAACTTTTTTTCTAAAAGGGGCCTTTTTTTAAACTATGCAAATAATTTAATATTGTGTAGAACGTGCATGCAAAGTTATAAAAAAAGGCCCCTCTCTCTTAGAAGAAAAGTTATTAATGGATTTCTAAAATCTATCATAATTCTCGAATATAGTATGTAAGTCTTGGAAATCATATATACTATTTATTTGTCGTATTTTTATTGTTCTCAAACTGAATTATCATTTTGTAATACTGTTTTCATGTGATATATAACGATTGTTTTGAAATAATACGCTTATACGGTGTATTATGCTCAATATATGATGAAATAGTAATCATTGTTGAGCACCGCTGCTCGAGCGCTGCGCGCGCGCGGCCGTCTGCTAAGTCCATGTGCTAGCTTCATTTTCCTTTAAAATAAATAATATTTTAATGTAATTTTTATTTTTTAGATATAATTACGGCAAGAACGATATTAATAATAGAAGAATCAATCGAATGGATACGTTGTCACAATGAGAGTTCCCTTGTGGCAATAGCTTTAGAAAATTTTGATATTATGTTAATGGATCTGGACACAAGGAAAATTGTTCGACATTTTCAAGGGCATGAGGGGCGAATAACAGATGCATGTTTTAATCCCGATTCTAGATGGTTAATCACAGCATCTATGGATTGCACTATCCGAACTTGGGACATACCATCGTCACACTTAATAGATATTTTTCAGGTAAATTTAATTTCAAAATTATAAATAGATGGATAAGTAGATGGATTCTTGCGAAATACAGTCCGCCCAATAAGAGCGTTGTCGCTATTATTCGCAGCTAGTAAAAGATGCTTTTTTGACAGACTATAGATAATCATTTATCTCGTATTCCTTTGCTCACTTTTCAAGTATTGTTTAGATTTTTGTATTATTTGGATTGGAAAATATCAAAATATATATTAATATTAAATCCTATGCCTTACAGGTTCCTGAAGCCTGTATATCTTTAAATTTCTCTCCGACAGCAGAATTTCTTGCGACCGTCCATGTACGTAATGTAGGAATCTTTTTATGGTCAAATCGTACGCTGTATTCGCATGTGTCGCTAAAGGCCATTAATAAAGACGATATGATACCTGAAGTAGGACTTCCTGGATCTTCTGTAGAAGCCGAGAAAGTTGATGAAGATGATGTCGTCATTGAAGAGCCAGATTATGTGTCGCCTGATCAGCTCAATAGTGATCTTATAACTATGTCCGCCGTGGCCCAATCTAGATGGCAGAATTTACTGGATATCGATATCATTAAAAGGAGAAATAAACCGAAACAGCCGCCTAAAGTTCCAGAGACTGCACCATTCTTCTTGCCTACAATTCCGTCGTTGCAACTGCGCTTCGATTTTTCGGACGTTAAAACTAACGAAAACACTGAAACTACTCGTATTCATCCGGCCTTACAAAATCTTACTTCGTTCAATAAGGATCTACAATCAGTCGATACCAACAATTTTTCAGATGTAATAGAGAAATTAAAGGCAATGGGTCCCAGCAACATCGATTTCGAAATTCAATCACTGTCTTCAGACGAAAGTTCCACCGAATTGTCAATGATGCAATTTATGCAAATGCTTCTTTATATGATGGAACAACAAACAGATTTCGAATTATCACAAGCATATTTGGCGGTGTTTTTAAAATGGCACGGTACAGCAATCTCGGAGAACGATACGTTACGAAATTATCTACGGAAAATTCAGAAGGCACAAACAAGAAATTGGCTTACACTACGAGAGAAGTTATTTTATAATTTAAGTGTTGTACAAAGTTTAAAAAAAATGTAAAGTGGACAAATTATTTTTATATCGTGTAAATATTTAATAAAATTTTTTTACAAAATAAATGTTTCATATTTTTTAAAAATTATGCCCCTTTCAAAATTTACATATATCATTAATCTGAAAAATTACTGATAACAGAAGATAATCCTCGAATTTAGAAAAAAAATGTTATCTATTTATTTACACAGGTATGTTGTAAAATATGTATTAAAATTCAAAAATATATTTAATGAAAAATGTGTATTTCGACTATTTATATATAATGTAATCATATTGTAATAAACTTAAATATATTTTATATTGTATCATATCATATTATATATAATATAATCATATAATAAACTTAAACATCGTATATGTTAATAAAAAAATTATCTATATCCTCTTTTTATACATTTATTTTTTCGCGTAATTATAAAGTATAATAAATATAACACATGTTTCATACGTAAATGTAATTATTGAAGTAATCCTTGAATCTAATAAACCTAAAATGCAGTGTTTTTTGGTAGATTCAAAATCTTAATCATATAAGTACACTTTGTGATAATATCAATATTTATAATTTATTCCTTGTAATTAAGAAAGCCCTGCAATTGTTCTATTATTGGAAGTTCGAGAGACAAGTCATTAATATATGGTTCAAAGTTTGTAACAATTTTATATAGACTACGCTTTATTGTACTTCGTAAAGATGTAAAAATTTCCCTAATTAATTTATCATCTGCTTGCATTTTCCTTGCAAGCATAGCTGATTTTGACAGTTTGTCCAGAGCCTGCTTCACTGACAACAGAGTGTTGATGATAACTGGCACATCTTTTTGTACAATACCATAAGAATCTTCACTTAGCGAAAAGACGGTCAAAGATGAAATAGCTTCGGCTGCCCAAATCACCAGTTGTCCATTTTGTAAAGCATAACGAATTTTATTGTCATCTTGTTCGCCAAAGATGTAATTGATAAATGGCTTAGACAACAAATATGCTATAAAAGCATCTTTTTTCTGCTTGATAAACTTTTGAATAAATGAACCACTGTAAGGTACTTCTCTTGCATCTTCTGATACCGATATTGGTGCTGTATCTGGTACTAATTTCCGCATATGATATATATATTTGCTTTGCTGAACTGGTGGAACTCTTGCTGTCAAAGTGCTGTAACAGGATTGATCTTGAGATTTTGTAGATATCGCATTGAGGTTTAATGAAAACTTCTCGAGAAGGTTTGTACTCTTTTGTACTACACAGTTCCAATTGTATGGATGACCACCTGGTTGACTGAGTGTAAACAACATACTCCTTCTCATTTGTTCTTTTTGGGCTAAGGTAACCAAGTCTAAGTAACCCAAATGCTGCATTATGGGTATCTTATCCATTGATAGTACATCAATAAGGGTAGTTTCTGAACTATCAGGAGTATATGCACCGCTCAAGCCAAATTTGAATGGAGCCCATTCGGTCAGATATATTTCAAATAGCGTGTTTGTGTTGTTGGTAATCAGCATAAATATAAACTGATAGAGCCACAGTTGCCATATCAGTGATAGATTTAATAATCTAGACACAGTGTCCAAAGGTTTGACCTCCATCTGCATGGAAATTGGCAACAACGCTTCACGGAAATATGATCCCATGAAATAATAAATAGCCATGAAATACAGAGTCGACCACATGGAGGAAATCATCAATGTTGGAAACATTGTATAAAATCTTCGTCTTAATTGAAAGAATTTGGACTGTGCTATAATGGGAAACTGGAAATATTTTTCAGCAAAACTGTCAGTTTTAAACGAGAAATACAATCCACTCCATAGACCGCTAAATAACAGAAAGTAATATTCTTCCACTGGATATGTTCCGTATACATTGCTTGAGTCTGTAGTCAAAGAGCTGTAGCTTCCTTTCCTCAACGACAATTGTAACCAGACCAAGATACCACCGATAACAATATACAATGCTCGCTGAAGTAAGCTTTGAATTCTAAGAGTCATACACAGCTTGGCAAATCTGCTCTTGTAGTACAGTGGAGGACGCAGATAATTCTTGCTACAGAAAAAACTCTGCAGAAAAGTCACCATGGTAAGAACGATGATATAAGCCCACATTCGAGGAGACATTACAATGATCCAAGTTTCCTCAAGCCAATGTGCATAGTCCGTGCTGAGATTCGTGAGCAGAACGACGCAACAGACGACAAATAATTGCAACATTACACTCGTAATGACGGCCAAGGTCATCCGCTGTATCAGTAATTCCCTGCAGCCCTTCTTCTCCGTATCAATCATCGTGTTCGTTGAAGCCGGTTAATCTTCGCGCGCCAATTAACCTTCAAATCTTCACCATCCGCTTGCCAAATTCCGTACAATAATATACTTCAAGCTTCCTCGCGGCGCTGTGTAAGCAGGTGTAATGTTGCCATCACCGTTTCTGCAGGCTTTGTCCGATATTATATCTCGGTTGCGGTCAGTATTGTCAGAGACAATTAAACAGAAAAAATTTCAAATCATTTAAACGATTTTAAACACCGCAACCTAGCATAACCGGCACAATTTCGCCTGCCACATGATGAAAAGAATAGGCAAGTTCAAGACTGCAAAGCGACTAGGCATGCTTACCGAGCGATTGAATGATTGGTTGGATCTATAAGTAACAATCAATTATGCTGGATTCACATTGCATCCGATTTGCGTCGTACGACGCTTTGGGGCTCTATTCTTGAAAAGAAACTTATAGCGTTTTCGGCCCGACCGGGTTTGCACCAACCTGGGTTGGATTAATCTTTCCTATTGGTTGATGTCACACGTTCTACCAATAGGAGAGCGCAAAACGCCATTAATCCAACCCAGGTTGGTGCAAACCCGGTCGGGCCGAAAACGCTATTATACGAAAGTCTATATAGTATACGTAAAGTATACTGTAGCATTTCCCTAGAATTTCGTATACGTTTCTTTTCAAGAATAGAGCCCCTGCAACCAATCAGAAAACAGGATTCCGATGATACGAAGCAAAATCCATCGGAATCCTGTTTTCTGATTGGTTGCAGAGCGTGGTACGACGCAAATCAGATGCAGTGTGAATCTACCATTTTTGTCGTTGAACCGGGGTGATCCCGATTGATCACGGCTCGATTGGACACCACCAATCACAGCGACTGGTACTTAGGAGCTTTGTAGTCTCAAGCGCTGTGAGTGGCTCGTATCCAATTGGGTGCCACCCGCTGAAACAGCCGGTCTGAGCAGCTCGTGAAAATTTACCTTTAGGTTGTCGTTCTAAATGCACCCATAGGTCTTGGATGAAGTTTTTGAACGCAGCTTAGAGCAGCTCGAGTAAAGTTTTGGAACGCAGTTCAAACAGCACTGATCCGCTGATGGCGCTGGTAACGCACATTTTAGAAATTGGAGCAAATAACCTCAATTAGAGAATAACCTTTTATCGTCAATAGTTAGCATTGAGAGTTTTGTGACTTTGACAACCGTGATATTGCGAAATATTTGCTGCAGAAATTCGTGAAATTTTTGCGAATACTAAAATATTGAGAGAAAATAGAATAGACGTTTATAAATAGAAAGAAGAAAAGAAAGTCTCGAGTTTGATATGTGTATGAAACATAATCTGATGCATTTTTTATTGAAATAATAATCTTTGAGAAATTGTTAATTTATATTTTTCAGGTAACATATGTACATTCGACCCTTAAGCTAAAATAATCTAATTGCAAGAGAGAAATGGCAGAAAATAATACAATCAAGTCAAAAGACAGAGACATGGACATTAACGCAGATATCAGTCGTTATTTAAACAGCGCGCCGCCTACGATTTTCGATGAGATCGTTGCATTTCAGAAGCCTGGTTTATTCGATGTACAATCGGCTACTGTGAGTCGAGTCTGTGACTATGATCCTTTATCCGATGGTGGACAGACAAGCGTCTTTGACACAGATTCTCTATGTACATCCACGACTTCATTGTTGGATGCCACAGTTGATCGGATCGAGCACAGCACATTGAATGATGCCTATAGAGACATATGGATACCATCGGAACATACTCGCAAGATATTACGATCCGTTGCAACCACTGCGACTGGTGCAAGTCACCTGGATCGTGAGAATCTCACTATGCCTGGATTAGCAGTACAGGGTGATATGCCTGATTTAATCAAGAATGCTTCTATCCACTTCCTAGGCGAGGACGAGAATATCCATCGGAATGTGCTCACAGCGTCTGATGTGACACAGGATGAGCGCGGTCTAAGGAATCTGATACAAGCTGGCTGCTATCGAGCAGCGGTCAATTTATCTGGTAGATTGCTGGCTATCTATGCTCAGGGCTATGGCAAGATCAATCAACCCAGCAAGCACACACCTCATTCTCTACAGCTCTGGTATACAAGACTATCACTCTTGGCCAAATTACGGCAGATGGATGTGCTGGAAAACGAGTCGAAGCCGTTTGGCAATTTGGACAAACCTGATATGTATTTCACTTTTTATCCTGAATTATACGGCACCAGACTAGGTTCCATGGCATCGTTTGCATTCAGATTATTACTGGCAGAAATCCCATCTTACTATGGTAAACCGAAACAAACATTAGAAAATTTGTACAAATTATTAGCGACCATTAATCAAATTGTAGCCAATTTCCAAGCTGGTTTCAGTGATGAGGGAATGTTTGCAAAAATCAGCGAATCTGATCAGCAAGATGCCGTGAAACTATGGACTGCCAGGAAATCTAGAATCTTGGTCTCTGTTATCAATTGTGCTATTGGCATGAGAAATTACATTCTCGCGATAGAGATACTAGAAGATCTATGCAAGTTACCTGATTGGACTATAGAACAGATAGGTATCTTAAGGTCAGCCATAGGAAGGGTACATTTGTTTCTTGGTGATGTTACAGCGGCAGAAAAATTTCTTGTCCGCATTAATAAGGAGGAAAAGGCAACAAGTGTCAGAGAACTGGTTGATAACGGTTTAATGGCAGTTGCGCAGAATTCCTTTCAAGAAGCCTACAACTGCTTCCAAACTGCATCGACAATGGACCCGTCCAACGTAATGTTGATTAATAATATGGCAGTGTGTTTATTGTACACTGGTCAGCTGAAAGCAGCTGTGTGGTTATTTGAGAGCATTGTTAATAGAAACCCGTTAAAGAGTCTGCAAGAACCGATTTTACTGAATATGTGTACGTCTTATGAACTACATACGACGCACTGTAAGCAACCGAAATTACATCTATTACGACAACTAAATAGATACAAGGGCGATGCTGCCGATATTCAGTGTTTAAAACTAGCAATGTAATATTAGTCATGAATTATCATATTGTTAACATTATTAACACATTGCGATCCGAGCCCGTTATTTTTACGAATTATATATTGTAGTTTAATTTATAAACAAGTGTATAAAGATACTACGGGGATTCAATGTAAATACTCACAATGTCGTTTTTTTTAAACTTAATCTAAATTATAAATTCTATCAGCTTTATTAAAAATTATGTTTGTTAAAAATTAGAAAAAATTAACTAAATTTAATTCTGCAATTTTTTATTAGTTTTGTTACATTTGGAAGTGAGACCACCGATACTTTGACTAAATAATTACAATGTTTGTTATTATTTTTTAGTTTAATTGCTCAAGCTGTACTTTGGATCGGATCACAAAGCGTTAAGCCTCAGGGAAGATGTAAATGTGATATTAATAAAAATAAAAGTATGTTTTGTTATATTCAGGCTCTGAACTTTTTTCTTTTTTATTCTCATATCACGTTAATATATAATATGCCATTTACTATATCATGTTCTACCAATGTTTTTCCCTTATATTGCAGTCAATTATACGAGGGTCGCCTGAAAAGTTTTGAGCTTCATCATGAAGATCGCGTTATTCGTCAAAGCCATTCTGGTATTATAATCGTGATACTTACGAAAGATATCTGTGACAATTGTGGCGACTTTGAACGTTCAGTTCTTGTTTGACAATCATTTGTGTCGTCATTTTGTAAAAATAGAAAAAATTGAATATCGTGCTATAATTAAATTCTTGCATTTGAAAGACAATACGTCTACGCAAATTAAAGCCGAGT